TTAGTACGAAACAATATCCAAAGTCTATAGGCCAACGGTATGTACCGGGTAAGCTTATCTGGACTGCTGACGCTCTCTCTGACGCCCCGTCACTCTCTCTCCAGAGCTGACTTATATAAGAGGGACCAGTCCATTACTAGTTAGAAGGTGGGTGCACCCCAACATAAAGAATCCCGCTTGTGCGATGGATTCCAGTGTGAACTGGTTTTCCGTTTTGGCCAGTTCGCACTCATTATTCCATCTTAATGTGTTGGTCTCGCTTTACATCAGGTCTAGGCAACCTGCTCTTTGTGAACAAAGAGATTGCTAGAAGCGCAGCACAGCAAGTCCATTGCTGTGCTGCGCTTCTAGCATCTTTGTTGGTATAATTTGTATAATAATTTTTTTCTCTCCCTGTCCACTCATTCATGTCATCCATGACAGACTTTTTCTTTTTCTTTTTTTTCTCATAATTTTAGTTCCCCGTTAACAGTTCTGATGAGAGAGGACGAAACCGGTCGACCGGTGTGTGTTTTTGTTTTAAATCTATCATGGCCTACAATACAAAATTTCTTGCTTTTTATGCCTTAATATATATATATATATATATATATTGCTTGCAACAGCAAAACTACAAATTGGGTAACATTATGTGATAATTGTCCATCCTACAAAATGTTTAATATCTAAAAAATACGAACCTAATTGAGTTTCTCTTTTCCAATTTTTCATATAAGACTTTTAGTCATTTTGTCCTTGTTTGTTGTACGAATCACTGAAAAACAAATTGAGCTGTTGTGTTAGAGAAAAGGTTAAATTCGTTTTGTGTCAGCCCCACTATATCTTCCCAACGCTGAGAGGAAAAACATCATTCAGGTTCTCAGTATTGGCACCAATATTCATACTCTGGCCTCAATATTCAAAGTTCATTCATGACCCATCAAGAGAACGCTGATTATTTTTTTAAAAAGAGGGAAAGTAGAGAAGAAAAATGGATCAAGCGGAATCATCATTTCAACTTAAAGGCAAATACATTCCTATTGTTCAAAGTAGTGTCCAATAGTGTTATAAAAACCTCCAGTAATATATCTTTAATCATTTCTAAAATGCAACAGTTCAAATTTAATCTAAGATTTGGACAAATTTGATGTTACACGATTTTGGTAATTTTGCTGTTATACCAGTATATACACGTGTGTGTGTGTGTGTGTGTGTGTGTGTGTGTGTGTGTGTGTGTGTGTGTGTGTGTGTGTTAATAATTTCAGCCCAAACAAGGCAATAAAGACACAAGCGGTTACCGAGTGTGAAAGAATATGAGAAAAAAGGGAAAATATTATTACGGAGAGAGAACAATAAAAGAACAGCAATTAAGGAGACAGAAGATAACGACTGACATTTCATCTGAATTTTTGAAGATGAAAATTGACCGGAAAACAAACAACGGGAAGAGTTTTCCATAAGCGGCTAGTGCAAAAGAAGAAACTCTCTGCATAGGACTTGCGCTTACATCTTGCCGTTTCAACTGTATTTATCCAGTGAACTGAGATACAATGACTTTATATATATATATATATATATATATATATATATATATATATATATATATATATATATATATATATATCATGCAGCTTGATGACCCATTCTCATAATATATTCTGTTGTTGTAGTAACAGCAGTCACAAACTAAACAGGCGTGTGTTATAATAAATACGCTAGCTAGAATAGCCTGTTAATACATTGCTATTTATTTTTCTTCTTTCGTGTCAGTGTTTGTTGGATATTTTACCATTTTATGATTTAAGATGCTGTCTTTTTACTTACATTCGATAATAAATTTAATTTTCCAGATGAACTTAAACCATTTTTATTTGAGGAACTGAATGTTGGAAGCTATTTTTCTATATGAAATCAATGCCAAGCCAAATTGTTATTAAAATTGTAGCTAGCAATTGATTTTATATCTTCAGGTCCTCCATACACTTGATCTGTCTCTGTATCGGCACTTGTTAATACACTCTGATATGAAGTAATCCGACATTAGCAGTGATCAAAAAATTCATGTTCATTTTCCCGCCAATTCATTATTTGCCATTCACCTTTTTCCTTCGGGTAATGCTACTGCGCATGCGTGGTCTAAAAGTGCATAAGTGGCCATGTGTGGTCTAAAAGCTTTCTTATTTTAAAACTTTTGCATTTACTAATCAACATAACAGGATATTGCATGTTGTGCAAACTATTCCGAGATTTTGGGGAGAGGATTTAAAACTTTTATGTCTTTTTTCGATTTCACATAAGATCTTTCTTTCATTTCGATACGTCAATCACTTGTGCGTAGTCAAGTGGGCTTTTCATAGATCTGCCTCTATTTTAACAGGTTTATGTGTGTGTGTATATGTGAAACAGAGTGAGAAAAGTAGTGGCAGAGAGAGAATATAGCTTCCTGTGTGTTTAGATATGAAAGTGAGAGAGAGAGAGAGAGATAGACGAGGAGAGAAAGAGAGATAAAGATATTTTGTATTTGCATTGCACATATCTAAATCCCCTGACAGAATTTCACCTGTATGCACCAGGTTCGATCTCTGAGACCAGCATTTTCCAGCCAAACGCTTGTAGCTTAAAATAACTAATTGGCCAGATCGTTACCCGGGAAATAAAACCATAAAATGGCAGACGAAATGACTCGGTCCTTTAAATCACCAGGGACTGCCGTCTTATAGATAAGCAACTTTCTTTGTTCTGTCAGTGATTCACCAACTCAGCTCCACATAGCTGACCCTCTTTGTCAGGCTCGTTTGACATGGTTCTTAGGTTGAATTTACTCAGCTAATCTTCTTCATCAAAATGCTGTCAAAACAATTTCTGTAATATATTTCAGATGTTCCCTTTTAACAAGATATCGGCTGACCACTGATAACGCTACAAAGAGATAATAGAATTATATATATATATATATATATATATATATATATATATATATCCATTCACTACAATCAAGTCAATGACATCATTAAGACGCAAGGGTTAGTGAAAGAGAATGAAAAAGAATTTAGAACGACCGGAAATCCAATCCTAAACAGGAAAAAATGGTAAGCCTCTACTCCTGTTCAAAAGACAGTAGATGGTATATATATATATATATATATATATATATATATATATATATATATATATATGTTTTCTCTCTCTCTCTCTCTCTCTCTCTCTCTCTCTCTCTCTGAATGTAAATATTTATCTAAGTACAATTATGTTCTTTCTGCTTCTCCTTGTGTTTATTTTGGCGTTTCATACATATGACTGATATTTTCGATATTTGTATATACTCATTCATAGTCTGGTAGACGCCACAAAAGTGAAGTATGAATTAATTCCCCTAGCCAAACAGTAATATCCAAGCAAGATGAGAGGGCTAACAAATACTTTATGGTAGACGACCTACTAATATTTTCTAAAGAGTAATTTGGGCGCAGGTGTATGGTTAGCTGAGAATATATCTCACTATATTTAACGCCCATTTCGATTAGACAAATTTTAAACTATGTGGATTCTCCTGTTTTGTTTGCAAACAACGAAAACAGTTTTTTTTCTACGAGTGTTTCCAACACCATAAAAAAAAACTTGTTGGTTGCTTGCCACGAGAGAGGGTTATAGTCCATAGTTCACTTTCCCCTTCGATTTTACATTTTCCCTTCATCTCAAAATCCAAAGAGAAAAAGAGAGAGAGCTGTCAATCAAAATACCGCGTGTGATAAGATGTCTCCCCCAATCTAGTAGCGTCATGTGTATGACGATAAACTACATCCGCGTCCTGGGTATGCCAATAAACTACGTCCAACAGCAAGGCCTTTGATAATACGTTTTTGAAAAAATAATGTTGCCAGCTGTACGTTTTTGAAAAAATATTACCAGTTTTTCCTCTTTTTTTATTTGAAAGAATAGTGCTGCCGGGTATACGTTATTGAAAAAAAAATTACCAGCCTATCATTTTTGAAAAAATAATATTACCAACTATACGTTTTTGAAAAAAAATAATATTACCAACTATACGTTTTTGAAGAAATATTATAATCAGCTATAAGTTTTGGAAAATTAATATTACCAGCTATACGTTTTTGAAAAAATGATATTACCAGCTGTACAATTTTGAGGAAAAAATATTAACAGAAATAGATTTTTGACAAAACAAAAGAATTACTAGGAAAAAACGTTGTCGGCAATAAATGACCCAATGATCTTGATATGCGGTAAAACAAACCAAACCAAACCCAAACTAGTACTACGTTTAAATGAATTTAGATACAGAGAAGAGAGTTCATTAGAAAAATTACCATGAAAGTAGTTATTGAAAAGTCACAAGGAAGCTACGACAATGAGGGGGACAGAAACGGAGATACCAGGTGAGGACCAATGAGCTTGCATTATAGATCTGCATGAAATTTTGAAATGCACTTTGTTCAGAAAAAATAAGAAATTCATTCTGTGTTAAAAAAAAAAAAAACCAATGGGCCTTCTCTAAGTTTTTCATCTATTGGACAAATCACTCGACGCGTCTTGATTCTCGTTCGCTTTTGTATGCACAAAACTAAACAAGTTGTATGTTCACAAGAAACTGAAAGGTAAAATTAACGCCACTGGCAAATAATGTTTCAAATATATTTGGTTGTTTATTTAGAAATTCACTTTTACAACCTGGGAGATAGGTTGATAACTCTTGGACATTTTCTGCTACTTCTGTCACGTCAAGCTAACAGATGAGATCTTCCCTACGGCCGGTGAGAGCTTCGATTCTCTTAACAACCCTCTGTTAAATTCAGCGCACAAATTCAGCTTGCAAATGCCTAACGGGTAGCCCGGAACTCTCTAGGTGGAATGAATGTTCCTCACAAACAGGCGGCTTGAGAAATATTCTCTCTTCGAACTGTGCCTATTTATATAAGTCTGCGAGTGGAACTTTCAAACATTCGGTTGAGTAGTATTTGGTCCCAAACGTTTTTCTTTATTTATCTAGTTATTCCTTTTTGTTCTGGTTCCCGTAAGAAAACCAAAGTTAAGCAAAGTCGAGCCTGGTTAGTAATTAGATGGGTAACCGCTTGGGAATACCAGATGCTGTAAACTTGGCTATGTGGATGGTAAAATATATAATGCCTATGAATTGTTAATCTGAGAACAGAGTTCAAATTCCACTTGGGTTAATTATATTTATTTACACGGAAATAATCTTGATAAAGTTATGAAACCTATTTCTTCTCCCAACTATAGGTTAATTATTAGAACTTGTACCAGTAAAAATCGTTATTATCTACAAAATATTTTCTGTCTTTAAATAGACTGCAAATGGGTTGATAAGCCGTAAAAATCGAATGGATAAAAAAAACTGCAAAATTAAGTACAGGCCGACATACTAATCAAGGGAGTTGTAATTTGGGAATTAAGTAGCTAAATGTCAGCGAGTATGTGGTCGCAGAAATTGTCTGACAGCCATGACAGGGTTCTCCTGCTTGTGTGGCATGGTGCAGATTCATGTTTCCAGAGATAGTTCTTCCAGCAGCCACCTTTTTGACCTTGGGCAGCACTACCACCTCAAGGCCCTTGATGTAGATCTCCGTGTTCAGTCTAAAGCCCTGTGGGAAGATGAATTGAGTCAGATTGTCGCCATCTCTTGTGATCACCTTCGTAATCAACATTAGACCCATCCACCTCTTTCTAAATCCACTGCACTCTAATCAGATTGACGTCCAAAAACCATGAAATGTTTGTATTGGAGCTTCCGGTGAGGATACCAGTAGTACAGTATGCCGTTTTCAAATTTCTGGCTGAGTGAATTGCGTCATGGGGCTCTTTTACTCAGCGACGGTTCCAAACTGAATCTATTATACAAAATCAAAAAAAAAAAAAGAAGAAATTGAAAAATATAAAGTGACGACAATTCACCCATCGGATCATATATATATAAAATATATATATATATATATATATATATATATATATATATATATATAATATATATATATATATATATATATATATATATATATATATATATAAGTCACCAATCTGCCATTAATTGTATTTATATATGTCTGATATTATCTTCTTTCATGTAGACATTTCTATGTCCTGTGTCGTCCAAGTTTTTTTATGTTCATATATCTAAATATATATTTACGTGTTTGTGTATTTTGATGTGATTGTGTATTTTGATGCTAATGTTATCTGAATTTAGATCCTTTCAATTGTATCTAAGTTGTTACGATGTTTGAAACTCTAACTGAAAATTTGACTTTTCGATTAAAACAATAAATAAATTTAAAAAAATGTTTGTATATTTTCCTCTGTTCCTTCTTCAAATAATTTGATAGTATTTTAAACTTCATGAAGGGTTACATTTAAAATTTTAAGTATTTATTTTTTAACTTTATAATAAAATTAAAAATTAATCAGAATGATTTCTAATTTAGTTTAACATTAATATTAAAATATTAATAAATTGTATCTAAGACTCGTTGTTAAGTTTTTTGAATTCTCATATACTTCTATTTTAATTGCCCACCATTAGGTTACAATGTTTCGCCTATTGAGGGGAGTTTGGTTCGTTTTGAATTTTTAAAAACTCTGCAATCAACACCATAACTTTAGTCCATTGTCTTACGGACACTTATAGGCAGTTACTAACTATAGTGTAGTCACTCATGGGAGTGCCAGCTTATTCGATTACTTCAAAAATGAATATACATCAGCATGCCAATTTTTATTTTACTTTAATAATGATACTAAGAAACTTGTCCGTAATTGCGAGAGGATCCTATTAAAAATAAATAGACAAAAATTGTATACATTATTTAATGAGCCAAGTCTTAATGAAAACATGCTGCCAAATTATATATATATTTAAACATATATTGTTAAATATAACAGAAATGAATGTATATCATGTTTGATACTAAACTTGTATGTAAACTTAAATGAATGTATATCATGTTTGATACTAAACTTAGTAAGTTTGCTTTAATTTCGTGTGAAAATAAAGACAAAAGTACAACATCTGGATATTTTTTTATTAAGCTGATCCTTAATCTAAGCTTTCGGCAATTAAAAGCAAACACACGAACATTAGAAAGGCTCATCATCAAACATAATAGACATCCATTGTCTGTTATATTTAACAATATAGGTTTAAATAATGATCTTCTGCCCCAATAAACCCACTATACATATATATATATATATATATATATATATGTGTGTGTGTGTGTGTGTGTGTGTGTGTGTGTGTGTGTGTGTGTGTAGTATTTTTCTTTGTATCTTTTTTTAAATAAACAGTTATTATATTATTTGTGGTGGTTTTAGAATGATTTATCAGCCTGATCAAGAATCATGTTCACCTAAATTATGTTGTCTGTACAATTTCTGGAAGGTGCAAGCTTTCAGTGGACCCAGAGAACGTAAATACATACAGTTTGCTTTCTGTAACATGATTCAGGTTCACAGAGGGTAAGAGCCATTATTTAATATCCTCTCAGTTTTACTTGGCGCTGTATGAATTAATTGAATGATTGCATTCTTGACGGCTTGTCGACACTTTGTTCGTTATATAAATCCGTAGAATATTTTGTATTCTAAGAAGGTCCTTACAGTACCCCGTGTTCCACAACGGTCCGCCGTTTGCGTACCGCCCGGTTTAATCGTATTTAACTTTATTAATCGAAAGAAGACTTTTTTTTTTCAACGTCATTTGTCCGTAAGCAGCATTATTTGGAAATTACCAACTACTTTAGTTGACGGACTTATACAGAACACACACACACACACAAATATATATACACACACACACACAAATATATATACACATACACAGCGAAAATAGGAAAAATTTCAGTTATGCTTCTGTTCCAATTATATATATATATATCTATATATATATATATATATATATATATATATATATATATATATTTCGGTCCTGGCTTGAACTATACTGATGTCTAGTCGCACTGAGGAGCTGTGATATAGCGAAATAGTACTGTCTGCGAATAATTAAGCTCATGAAAATATATTTCAATTGATCACTGTTGAAAGATACGCTGATTCTATAAACAACATCCACCTGCGCTAATCCAAAGCTCTTCAGTAAAATGAATTGGATCCCTTTGACTGATTGTTTACATTCGTAAAAACAATACGCTAGAAATAGTTGTTGCTCTCTGTTGATAGCTCAGTGGTAGACAATCTGACTGACTCCAAATCGGTCGGGTTTCGGTTCTGGCTTTAGTCATTCGGATGTCTTGTCACACTGATGATCTGCGATTCAGCGAAACATATCTGCTTGTGGATGATATATATATATATATATATATATATGCAAACATTATTTGGAATGTTCATTTTATTTGAATACAATAGAAAGAAAGAAAGAAAAAAGAGAGAGGATAGACAAAAAAGAGATAGAGAAATAGATGGTGAGGGAAAGAAGAGAATGACAAAGATTGGGAAAGAGCAAGAAGAGATGGATAAAAAGAAGAGAGAGAAAGAACGAGAGAATGAGAAATAAGAGAGAGGAAGATAGGGAGAGTGGGAAGTCTTAAGGTTTCACAGTTTTCACTCACATTCACACACAAATAGATTTTTTATTATCATTAAATGAAAAGTAAATAAATCTTAAAATTGAAAAATATCATTTTTTTAGTTTCGTTTGATGTTTCAATTATTATTTATTATTATAATTTAAATATCAATCTATCTACCTATCTATATATATATATATATATATATATATATATATATATATATATATATATATATATATATATGTACACAGACCGTGATATATAGATACACAATAAAGCAAAAAATATTTATATTGATATCATAGATTGTCTTAGATAAATAGATAGATAGTTAGAGAGATTGATTTAAAGAGATTAAGATAGCTAATTAGATACTTAAATGTACATGCGATAGATTAATAGATAAATAAAAACAGATTTAGATAAGAAGATGGACTCCAGAATCGGACAAAATTTATTATAATTTAAATGTCAATCTATCTATCTATCTATCTATCTATCTATCTATCTATCTATATATATATATATATATATATATATATATATATATATATGTGTGTGTGTGTGTGTGTGTGTGTGTGTACACAGACCGTGATAGATAGATACACAATGAGGCAAAAAGTACTTATATTGATATCATAGATTGTCTTAGATAAATAGATAGATAGTTAGAGAGATTGATTTAAAGAGATTAAGATAGCTAATTAGATAATTAAATGTACATGCGATAGATTAATAGATAAATAAAAACAGATTTCGAGAAATTACTTATAGATAGAGTTAATATATACGGACATACATATCTATCTATCTATCTATGTATGTATATATACACAAACATACACACACACTCATATATATATATATATATATATATATATATATATATATGTCTGTCTGTGCGTGTATAAAGCACTAATAGAATTATTTTTTATCCACAATTTTTAATATTCCAAATGTTATTTTAGTAGATATCTATATTAGAATGGATGCCCTTTTTTAAACTATATATATATAGAGAGAGAGGAGAGATAGATAGATAGACAGATAGATAGATACACACAATATATATATATATATATATATATATATATATATATATATATATATATATATATTGTGTCGACATATAAATATATATATATATTTATATATATATATATAGAGAGAGATAGACACAATATATAAAATGTATACTTGAAGATAAAGTTTATTATATATATATATATATATATATATATATATAAACCACACATAAATTCGCCAAAATTGAGAACTAGTAGCAGGTTTTGGGCTAGAAGTGTGAAATCGCCGTCACAACGGAGTGCAGATTTTATCAGACTTACAATAAGTTTGTCCTTGTTATTTGTCCCTGAAGATGATTTTGAAAAAAATTCGAAACTACTCGGGTTAACAAAATCTACGGCGCCTTCCTTGATGAATTTCATCTAAACATCAAGAAACTAATTTAGGGAACTGGAAAGGATCTGTATAAAAATAAGTAGACACAGTTTATATTTCTGTTTGAATGAATATATGATCTCTCTC